AATTTTAAAACATTCAGTGTTCCCATGTTCTGTTCGAACAACTGCTTCTTGGTCTAGGTACAGATTTCTTAGAAGTACAATTAAGTGTTCTGGAATATTCATACTTCTCAATGTAGCAGGCACAATAAAAGACACACAATCTAGCTTTTATCATGCCTCTACAACTAATTCTTTGAGCAATACTGAACATATCATAATCTCTCATTGGTGTTGTTAGGTGCTATCAAGTTGACTCAGACTCATAGTGACCTTATGCACAACAGAACAATACACTGCCAATTCCTATATCACCCTCACAATTGTTATGTTTTAGTCCATTGTTGCAACCACTTTGTCAATCAATTTCATTGAGGTATTTATTCTTTTTTGATGAGTCTCTACCAAGCATGAAGTTTTTTCTAGGGACTGGTCCCTCCTGACCACATGTTCAAACTGTGAGAAATAATCTAGCCATTCTCATGTCTAAGAAGCATTACAGCTGTACTTCTTCTAAGATAGATTCGTTGCTTCTTCTGATAGTCCATGGTACTTTCAATATTCTTCCCCAACACCATAAATAAAATGTATCAATTTTTCTCTAGTCTTCTTATGTTGTCCAATTTTCACATACATAAAAGGCGACTGAAAATATCATGGCTTGGGTCAATCACACCTTAGTCCTCCATGTGACAACTTTACACTTTAAATTAAAAGATTACTCTTAAAACAATTTGCCTAGTGAAATACATCTTTTGATGTATTATGCTACCAAGAGAATTGATTATGGATACAAAAAAACCTGAAATCCTGAAACCTTCAGCATTTTTCATATTTATCCTGAAGTTGTCTATTTGTCTAGTTGTGAAGATTTTGGTTTCACTTACAATGAGTTGTTAATTCATACTGAAAGCTGTATTCTTTTTTTTTTTTTTCTTCTTCAAAGTTTTTATTGTGAATTATGTGATAGTTTACATGGGGGAAACATTAGCTTTACATTCATACTATCGTAATTCATTTCATTTCAATGATTACAATCCCTTCCATGCATCATCAAAAGGGAAAAAAACAAACAAACAAACATGAACATTGAAGTAACCTCAAGAATGTCTCTCTGCACTTTGATGATAGAGTTTATAAAACAGAAATATTCAGATGATCAAGACCATACAGAACAAAAAGAAATTGTTATATGCATTTAAAAGACAGAATTAGAAAACAACCTATCAGTGCTTAGAAATGGGGCTTTGAGAAGTGTTGAAATGCAGCAGAGGGATAGGAGGCCCTGTAGACTGCCATCCACTGTTCAGGTTTACATGTGGATGCTTTTAAGGAAACAGGATTGTTACAGGAGATCCAGAGCACAAAGGCTGGACTTGCAGGCTTTGTGTTTCCTTTGGGGGGAGAAATAGGACAATTCTAGTTAATTAAACAATAGACTCAAAATCCTGCATTGATGCAGTTTGTTTTAAACATAGGCCTTGTTTTCAGCTTCATCTGCAGTTCTATGTGAAGACTAGCAAATCAGTTTTTACTGGTTTTATTAAGGCAATATAAATTGGAGGGGAAAAAAGAAGCCTGGTGCATCAGAGTTACTTAAAGCAATATGTTGTTTGATTTTTTGAAGGTTGGTTCCATTAACTCAATCGACAAAAGGGAAAGTTGAGAAGAAAACAAACTAAAAGAACGAAT